AAAGTTATCCATATGGCACTGTGCCTCAGTAGTGTGGACCTAGATAAAGAGAAAAGTTATTCATGTAAGGGCTATTGCAGGAGTCTTAAAAAGGCTCTTTTTTTCATGCTTTGAATATTGATTATATTAGGAGGTGCGTCTGCTTTTATACATGTAAGTAAAGTAGGCTATAAAAATAAATACCTCAAAAATGCTCTGAGAAAGGCTCTCACTCTATAAATAGTGCAAGAAGGGGGACGACACCTGTGAAGGAAGAAAGCGAAGCCGTGGGGAGCAGGTGGCACTGCCGTGCGTAACACCTGTGTTCACATTCCGTTAACCGACAGATCTGCTTAGGGGAGCCGCGCTGCCTCGCTGCATCTTACTGGGTTTTTAGTCTTTGTTTACATTTTCAGGCAGGCTGGCGGCTGGCTGTCTGTGGAGGGAGGGATGGCGGGACTAAAACTGAGCAAGCCAAAGCAAAGTAAGAAACGAGCAATTGGGAACATAGGGTCACGTTTTCCCTTTTTCTTGGTACCGAGTGGTAGCTTACCCTTTGACTAGCTGGAGGATACTTGGCTTGTTTGCCAGGTTTTGGTGATACTGAATGAAGTTGATGTAAATGCTCAGGTAGAGGCTTTTGTGCAGAAGGAAGTTTTCATTTCTCTTGCATGCGTGCCTGGGGAAGGGATGGCTAGGCCTACGGTAAGTCTGTGTTTACCACGCCTCACTGCCAAGCTGCTTTCCAAAGTGGCTGTACTGTTGCAGTTCCAACAACAATGCGTGAGAATTCAGTTTGTATCATTTCTTCGCCGTCACTTAGTCTTGTTACTTTGCTTTGTTGTGTTTGCCACTCTAATGCGCTCACAGGGCAGCGCATTGTATTTTGATTTGGGTCTCCCTGACGGCTGGTGGTGGTGGTTTCTTGATTCAAGGAAGCCAGCAGGGCAGTGGCAGCAGCTGGCAAGGGCCTCGAGGGCCAGCCGTGTCCTGGGTGAAAGGAGGCCTGGGTTCCCAGGAGCCTGGCGTCCCGGGAGTCACCCGGGGCACTGGAGCTGCCAGTCACTGGGGTGAGGGGGAGCCCGCAGGGAGCCCCTCAGGGCCGCAGGGGTCAGCCTGGGGCTGGGGCCGGGGCAGGTGGGTCTGGGGTCGGTAGTGAACTCATGTTACTCTCCATTCCCCGGGGAAAGGGACTTTCCTTGCGCTGGGCTGCCCAGGCTTGGGAGAAGGGTGTTTTGGAGGCCTGGGTTCCCAGGAGGCCACCAGGAGCTGGGTGTCCCAGGAGCCACCGGAGCTGCTGGAC